GTTAAGGAATATAAAATTCTAAATTGCTCTACAAGAAATTACAGGGAACAGAGGAATGGTAAAGAAAGTAACAAAAACTAGAGACACGCAGGCCTTCAACATAAATGCATAATCATTTTGGAAATTACCTTTGACTGTGTTTTAATTCATGGGTGAAACCAGTTTTTTCCATCCAGTTCTCTAAAAACTTGAATATTTTAAGTAAGAATACTAATTGTTGATGAGATTTTAAGAGTAGTATCTTCTTAAGAGTCCTAGAGTTCCTAAATTAGGATTTTAAATTTCTCCCTATTTCAGAGGCTTATGAATTAGAGAGAACCTAGATACTTCTATTTCCAGAATATCCAAATAAAACTTTCTCAAGAGTAATGTAAAATACTTGCCAGAAAAAGTATCAAAGTTCAGGATGAAAACAAAATTAGAGGCAAATAAAGCTCAAGAAAGCAACTGGGGAAGAAGGACAAAAAGAGCCATGTGCCCCTTCTGACAGAAGTGTGTTTCACATATGCTAGTTTCTAGGGAGAAAGCACTAATCCTGTATACAGAGGCCACCTCAGCTGCTCCTCTCTTCATCAGAACAATTCATGTCAAAAGTTCCTCTAAGGACAGTTTTTGCCAACCAGCTGTTCTCCTCTCATTGCAGGAAGTCACCTCCTTTGCTCTTTGGCTTCCTGGACCTCCAAATGACTTATGAATCGACTTGTGCTAATGATACCCTAATAGTGATACCACAATCACAGTGATGGCAAATGTTCTCAGAGAAATTACTGTGTGGTAGGTCTATTAATCACCTTATCAAGCACTACAGCCTCAGGAACATTCTCTCTGTAAGAGACAAATTTTAGTATACAACTTTACAAAGTTTTCATTTTTACCAGAGAGCACATTTTTTCCAAGCACCTTGGAATAGATATCAATACCAATATCAATAGATATTGAACACATATGAAGCAGGATAACAGCAGAATACACACATATGGAGAATACATTAATATTTTTCTTAAACACCTTTTAAAAATTTGATCTACTGTTATAACAAATGACAGTTACACAACGACAGGCACAGATCAGTCAACTGTGCAACAAACCTGAATTTTGCGAAGTGCCAGCACACATGCAGAATACTTCACCTGCCCTTCAGATTGTGCTGCTTTGCTTTTCTTTTTGCTTAGTTTTTAGCTACTGCCCCATTCCAGAAAAACATGATGTAGGATATGAGATATATTCTTTCCATTTTGCATTTAGCCAGACATTTTACAACTTCTGAAAATATATATCAAGGAGAAGAAAATGCCAATCCTATGAAAAGCTAAGAAAAACTTTGGCTCCTTTTTATGGTTTGTCAATCTAGCACTTAGTTAAATTATAGCAGAGTGTAATTCTGCTTCTAAAAATGCAAATTTATTCTACACATTAAACTTTATCAATCTTGGTGCTATGGCAAAAGGATAAACCTCTGTAAATATAAATACAAACCAAGAATCCGGAATTTTTTAACAAGCATATCCAGTATTCCTCAAAAACATGGGCCTTAGCTTTATATTGCTAAAATGCAACAAAAACAATAGGCTTCATTTCTGGAAAATTATGTCATGATGGTCAAGCAAGTTTACCTTATGGAAAATCAGGCAGTCTTGTTACAAAAGGGTTAAAGTTTGATTAATCTTAGATTTATCTTTCTTTCCAAAAATTTTTGCAGCACTTGTAATGTTAAACACCAATGAACCTTAACCTGCTGGACTCATTCAGCAGCAGACTGCATCCACAGAAGTTCAGATCACAGACTAAAAGTTTAGACCACTTACTGTCTCTGCTATTTAAAATAATCTTTTTTGTTTTCCTAGGAGTTGTGGAATTAGTCTTGGTATATGTTAAACTGCAAAACGAGGCACAAGAGCATGAACTACAAAAATGTGTATTACCTGTTCTCCCATACAAGCACAAGAGTTGCTTTGTCTCTGTCAAAAGGCCCATGCTCTTGTCCCTTACACACATCTCTAGGCAGCTTCAGCAATCACTGGAATTAATGCTTTCAAGAATAGCCATGGAGCAATTCATATGACATGAATGCTTTAACTGCATATCCATGCCTCCAAGAATCTTAAGTTTGTTTCAAGGTCCTTTTCTTCATATTACACTTTAATGATTGTATTCTGTTATAAAGTTTTAATCTACACCTTATACTAAGTTAATTTCATCACTAATTCCATATTTAATATAGAGCTCATTTCAGATACCATTTACTTAATTTACACAGAAAGGCTAGATGCTGAATGGTAACTGCAGCACAGTACACAGTAGAAACATCACTGCTTCTTATGTTCATGGTTCATTGCTTCTACAGGGCTTGAACACCTTGCATACTCAATGTGCTCAGCTTCTGGGTGGGTATACCAGTTTTGTTGTTTCCCTACTTTACCACCACAGGTATGTATTTCCGGAGCCTGCACAGAAAATACTAATTCACCTGCTGCCTCTCCTTTGCCTTTTCCAGTTGCTAGGCAAAGCTGTCAGTGGTTATGTAGGAAGCAAGTCTCCACACTACAGTGCTGGCAATCAAAAACCATTTGTACAAAAAAAGTTTCTGACACCACTTGTAGACTAAGCACAACTGCACCAGACTTGCTTTGTCTATTTGAAAATCTGACTGATTGTTGCCAAGCAGATTTCCTCAAAACGACTGTGTTATTTATTCTTCCTAATTCTGTATTTGCAAACAAGGGAATGAAAAGGGAGAAGAGAATTGTGCTGCTGGTATGAAATGCTTTGAGTGGGGGATGGACTACATGACCTACATTCTTCAGTGAGTCAGTGCAGCAGCACCCACATGGTGTGAATTAATTAAAATTGGAGATACACCAGTAATGGATTTATACTTCCTCAGCAATCCCATCAAGCCTAAAAACTTGTCCATGTAACAATAGCCCCTCTGCTTTTGGGGGGATAGGTAGGGTGCAGTGAGAGGCCCTAATGAAGATCTGTACTTTTTAGCATCTGCCTCTCATAGACCATCCACATCCACAATTACTGTAGCACGTTTGTTTCACAAAGCTTGGCAAAGACAACAGAAAGAAGTGTCCAGGCATAGTGCAGTTCAGCAATTATGATTTCAGCAGAATAACTGGAGTTAAAAATGCTATTACCTCACACCTGTTCCAGTGTAGCCGCCAGCTTCGTAAGTGAATAGGATGTACTTCACAGTACATACAACTGACAGAGAAAAAATACTTTACAGCAGTTTATAAATAGAGGGCAGCAGCCTGAAAGTGTTAAAGCTCAGGACAGCAAAGTTACAACTGGGCATTACTGCCATTTACTGTGGCAGTGCAGCTGGTATCCTTTATCAGAACAGAAACAGCACAGGTTTCAGGTATATCTGACAGAAACAGGTTCAGTCTGAGAGGTCTTATTTCACATCCCGTAATAGTACCTGAATGGATGCTGACAGACACTGCTAAAATTTAGTCCAGCTTCTGGCAGCACACAGAACAAAATTATAAACTTAGGGTCTGGTTTCCTTGTTTTCTTCTGTACCCTATCTGTAGTTTAGTGCAGTACTGATCAGATGGGTTTTCTGATCCTTCTCAGATATATATCCATTTAACAGAAACTAAAATGACATTCATATTTCAGTACCTGAACAATTAGGCTCATGAAGCATCTGTCTGCCTCACCTGTTACTGGTGAGCAGAATTCACCACATCAGCTAGATAACCACCACAGTGGTGGTATACAAAAAAACACCCCAGCTCTAGATGATGCAGACATAAAGGCAATATTTAAACAGGGAAGACAAAACCTGTCAGCAAGACCCTGGAAGAGAAATCAGGCACACAGTAAAGGTGCACAAAGGTAAATCTGTTGCCTGGGGGTTAAGAGTACATGTAGAACACATTGTGGTACAGTAGCTGGGGAATGGTAATAATAATAGACAGTAATAATGGCAATAATAATAGATACTATAACTACCATGACAGGAAAAGCAAAAGGCAGTAAATATGTAAACATAATACAGTAAAACCAAAAAAGCAGTATTATTACTTTATCTAACATAATTTAAAACTACACTGTAATTTTTTTTCCTTTATCCAATACAAAAGAATTACACAATACATTGGGAGGTTTTCCATTAAGTACCACAAACGTTAATACTGTGCAAACCTTCATAATTCCAAAGTAAAATCTGAGGCAGACCTCCAACAGTTGTAGCAAAAAATATGCTGCCATCTTGTACATTACTGCCTTTAAAAAAAAGTTCAGTGGGCCATATCATAGACTCTTTCAACATGCGTATAGCCAACTGATGTACTCTCTCTGTCGTGTTGAACAGTATTTTAAACATTTGTATGGATTCTCAAGATAACTTCAAAAATCTGCTGGCAGCTATTAACTTCTAAGGTGCAGAACAGAATGTTACACCAAAAGAAGGTTGTTTCTTGAAAGTATTACATTATCAAATTCATTTAACTGAAAAATCTTTCTATGCAGAGGGTATTTTTTTCTGTGTATCTAAATGCAGAATACCCACCTGGACTGTAAATGGCACAATTACATTCCATAGTTTAGCAAATAAAAAGATGAACATAAGCACATTTATCAAAATACTTAACAAAGATGCTGTATTCTCCACATTTGATTTATCAGTTAGTCTCACTGTCACATAAATTTTGACCAGGCTACACAAGAGTTTAAAATAAAAAACAGGAATCAACTACATATCTTGTACACTATGCAATTCCAGGCCAAGTTTATTTTACTAATGAGTTTATTTTACTAATACAAATCAGGAAACTGACTTGAAAGTGGAATTATAGACACTTGTTTGTCAGAAAGCTTCTTAGATTTCACTGGTGTCAAGAAGCTTGACAGACCATGTATCAAACAAGTGCCACATAGTGCAAGTATTCTTCTAGTCTTCCCTTGAATGCAATCTGCTTTTCTTCTCTGACTAATTGTACTGAAAATAAAACTAATATATACTTCTAAAATTAGATACTTACAGTGAAAATACCCATTAGCTGAGTGTAAAAGAGTCGACTTATTCCACCGAATATTATTAGACCCATGAAGGCAGATATTCTTAGGAGAGCAAGTTCATGTCTAAATACAAACACATCCTAGAACAAGACAGAAAGAAGAGAGAGACTTTAGCAGTTACAAACTAATTGAAGTCTTTGAACTAAGTGGAAATAGGAGATAACACCTGTAAAAGCTGTTCTCAAAGCCTTAAAGCTGAAGGCAAATATTGGATTCTGAGCTACGTTGCACATAATTGGTATATTTATTTATGTTTTAAAAGCAGAAACCAGTAAATTTTCTTAATACAAGTTAACAGTTGGGGGTTTATTTTGCCAGACTGTTAAAGAAACTCCTTCAAGTAGTTAAGGTTTTGGGAATATATCAAACTCAAATGGATTATTTCTCAATCTTCCATCTCAAACTGTGCCAGACTACAACACACAAGCTATATAATACAGGACAACTATTCTGTTAAATGGTCTGATTTATTATACCTCGGCTACCAGGCACAGCACATTTCATTTTTACATCACCTCTTCTGAAAGAAAACAAGCATTCCAAGATTGACACCTGAAGACTGACACCTACAGAGACTGACACCTACAAAGTCCAAGTACCTGTACTGGATTGTTCTTACTGTAGTGCTATTATCCAATATAAACTTATCTCCAACTTTTAAATTTTGGCCTTGAGGTAGATTACGGCCACTTTGGATAAGGGTGAACAGTAAAAATGCTTCAGGGCACACAAAAATATGGATGTATTTGATCACCTGCATTGGAAAGTCAGTTCTCAACCAGCAGACAATATGAAAAGCATTACAGAATGTTATGTAATGTCTACAAAGGACAGAGCACCTTTTTTTATCCCATAAGAATATTTTTATGTGGCAGTTACATTAGGTGTGAGTTCAGACCCCATTTTCTTAATTTTAAGTCACAATTATGTTCTCAAGGCTGTCTTTTGAATATACACATCTGTTTTTCCACTTACAAAAGCTAGATCGTGGCAGGAGAGTATGAAAACCTTTCAAGTAAACTTTATATTACAACCAGAATATAGAAGAGAACTGAATGAAAAAACAAAAAAACCCCAACCAACAAAACAACAACAAAAAAAACCCAGCAACAACCCCCCCCTCCCCACCAATTCTTATGTTCAACCACTAGAACTTGAGAAAGAAGGATACTGGGTTTTAATTAAACAGACAATAGTTAATGCAAATTGTTTAGCAAAAGAAAATTCTGATTTTTCATTTAAATAATTTCCATGAAGGTTCAAAATATAAACCCAGGAAAAAAACATTTAAACTGCCTACTAAAGCTATGAGGAAAGCCAGTATTTAATGAACAAGTAGAAATCACTAGTTAAGCAGCTAAAAGCAAAATCAATCCCCAACAGTCTTTTCTGAACTATTTTAACAGTCCATTCCCTCTCTTCTCACTTGTTTATAATGGCCTTTCCTGCTGCTGTAGAAAATAGATTCCATTTATTTTAATGCTTCTTGCTCATTTAAATGGGTTAATTCAAAGACAAATCAACTCAAAATAAAAGCAGTCATACTATTCTTTATTTGATCCCTTGGCAATGCCACTGACTGCAGGCCTCCTGCTGGACTCTGCTGCACTGATCATGACCCTCTGAGCTCTGCCTTCAGCCAGTTCTTGGTCCATCTCACTGTCCATTCCTCCCATCCACATTTCCTGAGCTTACCTATGAGGATGTTATATGGGAGACAGTGTCAAAAGCCTTGCTGAAGCTCAGGCAGACAACATCCACTGCTCTCCCCTCATCAACCCGTTCTGCCATGCCATCACAGAAGGCCATCACGTTGCTCAAACATGATTTGCCTTTGGTGAGTCCACCCTGACCACTCTTGATGAACTTCTCTTCCTTTATGTGCTTGGTCACGGCCTCCAGAGTGATCTGTGCCAGCACCTTTCCAGGGATGGAGATGGGGCTGACTGGCCAGAAGCTTCCCAGGTCCTCTTTGTTGCCCTTTCTGAAGATGGAAGTGACACTGGCTTTCCTCCAGTCATCAGGCACCTCTCCTCCATTATTTTTCAAACAAGATGCACAGTGGGCTTAGCAACAACATCTGCCAGCTCTCTCAGCACCTGTGTGTGCATCCCATCAGGGCCCATGGATTTATGGTTTTGTCTGCCTAGCCGATCTCTAACCAAACCCTCAATGGCCAAGGGCAAGTCTTCTTTTCTCCAGCCTTCCTCTCTTGCCTCCAGGGTCTGGTATTCCTGAAGGATAGCAGTGAAACCTGAAGCTATGCAGTAATTCACTCTGCCCTTTCTGTGTCTTCTGTCCCCACGTTACCCATCTAAATTCAGCAGCATCCCCATATTGGTGGGGATCTTTCTAATCCTTGTTTTGTTGCTGATATACTCGTAGATGCCTTTCTTGTGGTCATTGATATCCCTCAACAGACTTAATTCCAACAGGCCCTGACTTTCCTTGTTGTATCTCTGCATTCCCTGTCCATAGTCTTATAGTCCTCCCATATGCCCTCTCTCTTTCTCCACATTCCTAGCAAATGAATTCCTAAGCAATTATGTGCTGGAAATCAACACTGGGCCTTCAAATCTGTACAGACTGAACAACATTTTTCTATAGAAAACCAAAGTATATGCAGCAACTGAGTTTTTTGGCAATCAAACTTTAATAATAGAATGAATTACACAATTCTACATGGAAATAGAAATATATGGCTCCATGAAAACAGAGGAAAAGACCATTTTAGAAAGTAATAATAATAATAATGATAATGTATTTAGGATGCTGCAGCTTTGCATAAAAGCTCCGTGCAAGTTGGTTTTATTATTCCTTTTTAGAACTGACAATAACTTTTTTTCAGCTGAGAAAACCAATCAAAACTATAATCAATCAAAACTAGTCAATAATTAACCAATCCATCTTTCAACATGCTTTGAACAGATCCTCTTGTTCAATAGTATTCACCAGTCTCAGTGCAGTGTGAGTACTGAGTTAGTATGATTTTGGAGTTTGGAGTACAGGCTACTTCTGCTAACAGAAAGAACTGTACAGACTGAGCCACCAACATACACACAGATCAGCTAACCTCACCAGTGCATGAACACTCAGCTATCATAGCACAACAGGGTTTTGTTCCACAGCAGCTTTTTTTTTTACATTGCACCAGGCTGTCATATATGGCCTTGGCACAGACGTTGAATGCATATTCTTAACAACATGAGAGCTTTCCTTCAGGTAGCCTCTTTCTAATCTTCTTTATGTCAGCTCTACAGCCTAACTGGCCTGCCAAAACTGCATGTTCACATGGGTAGCTGCCACTTCCTTTCTATTTAGCATTTCCTACACCACACCACACAGCACTCCCCTTTGGCTGCTGCTTTTTCTATAGGTTTCTAAATTCCATTTAGCTGCTACTTCTATTCATCCAGGCAAACTGCAAGGATTCTTAGTTACCCATAAAAATGCATACAAATGTGAACAATAAGAACTTGTCACAAAACATGTGTAGGTCTATAGGATTATGTTGCAAAATGGACTACAAACCATGAGATCTGGTACCTTTATCTCAACAGGCAATACCGAAACATTCTACAGAAAAAAGGCTCTGGGATAGATAAACAAGAGACTTCCTTAACCCCACAGCAGAACACATGCCTCATCTTCATTTGTGAGCACCAACCACTATAGATGACCCCTAGAATGAATGCTACCACTGACTAGGACAACAGCTACCATGGCTTTATGTTACCATACAGGAGAGGTCAAAAACCACAATGGGTCCAGCTCTAGACTGTAGTCCATTGTAAGACCAATGCTTCCAAATTCAACTCTCTTTGTACCCTACCAACAACAACAACAAAAAAAAGAGCTCAAAAACATATAACAAGTCCCTGCCACGTGCATTATTGTGTTATTGTTTTCAAGGATTTATAGTATTCCTTTAAAGCAGCACACTGTATTGAGGACAGGGCTTTTGGCAGAAAACATAGGAGTATTGTATCTGTTCCAAAATAGACAATAATCTTCATAATTTTTCATTTACAATGGAAAATTAATTTATTCAGTCTTTACCGAATATGATACACACAGAGATTAATATACAAGAAAATACATAAAAAGAGCTCTCTTTTTTCTTGAGGAATGATATTTTGTGTAACACATGACAACCTGGTTATCTGTGCTCAGTTGTAAATGCCTGGGATGTCTGCCTCAGACCGCTGATGAAGTCAGTCTATCAACTTTATATAGTGTATAATACAAAAGAAAGCCAGGCTTTTCAGAAAGCAAACTAAAAAATACAGACTGCAGGTTCTGCAGGAAGAAAGAGGAAGGACTTAATATTCATGTACTGTCCTTATAACTACTGCAGGACAGCAGGGTTGGGTTGGTTTTGCAGAATGCTGAGAAGAAAAATGTTGATGCTTTTCATTTTGAAAACCTCTCCTGTCTGGTATATAATTTTGTGATTCTAAGAGAAAAAGTTTCCTGCAGACTCTCTCTACAGTACAAATGGACTTTGGATGATACATATTTCCAGATTTTCTTTAACATTAGTCAATGCATAATATTAATATTATTGAAAAAGATAATTTCCCAATGTCAAAGACAATGATTTGTAATTGCAGGAACAGGAATAAAATAAAACTAAATCAGAGCAAAGGTGCCTAGGTTTTTGTATGTCAGAAGGTTTGGCTATGACAATTATTGCAGCAACATCTCTAGCAAACAGACTATATCAGCAGAATTCCTTTCGCTTAAAAGATCAGAAGCCTTCTATAAATAAGGTAAAATATACTGCCAAAGCATTTACTTTTGCAATTTGACCAGCTGTATCTAGAATCTGTGCCAGTCCAGCCATGGACAGAGCAACTATGTAGTGATAAGTCTAGTGTCTATTCTTCTCATCACACTATTCAGAAGACTGCTTCCTAAAATATACCGGCTTCCTGACATTTTTTCATGAAGATGTAAAATTAAGAATATTCCTGTGTTGACCTCTGTAAATCACCAAAGCTTGCAGAAGAACTAATATGCTGATTTTGAAACAATGCATTTTTCTTGTGCTATCATCCCACATAATCAATTTAATTACCATCTCCTTTATTTCTAGCAGTAATTGCACTCCTCCTGCTGGACAAACAGAGGTAACAACTATAACCTAAATTTCTGGCAGTGTATCAGTTACAAGAACCAAGACTATTATGAAGCAATTTTCTGTAGTAAGAGGTGAAGCTGAAAGATTGCATCTCTAGAGAAACAGCTTCCTCCATTACCTTTAGAGCTATCACGCTTAACTCAGACTAGTTAATTAAAAATTTTGGGGGTTTTCTGTCTCGACCCTTTAAAAATAAAAACACAACTTTTAATTCAGAAAAAGATACTAACATGCTGGTCAAAGTTGCATAATGCATTAATCAGTACTGTAATAAAACTATTATCTCACAATAGCACTAAAAGCAATTTTAATTCTACAGCCTCTGCGGTTTGTACTATTTTAAATCTGAAGAATAAAAATTAAGATGAAGGCACACTGCCAAAAAATTCACTAGTATTTTAATGAGCAAGAATAAGCTTATTCCAGATGGCTGTTTGGAAAAAAAAAAAAATCATCCAGTTCTTTGAATCTGTTCTAAACACTAGCCCCTGTCAACTCAGAAAATGTAAGCTCTCAGTTACAGCCAAAATTTCAACAAAGAACAGTGCTTTTTGTCAAAGGCTGAAGGTACTGCACTCTCTGGAATGCTGTGGTACCTCAGCTTTAATTGATATAAAGGAGATAAAAAGAATCTTGCAGTATGCTAGCCTAAAACCCTAACTACTACTAAGCCAATCTTTTCACCAGTCCTGTTCATTTCCTGCCAAAAAGACATAGTTCTGACAAATTATTCTGTGGCACAAACCTATACAGCATCACATCCTTAGCAACTCTTTAAAAAACCAACTTCATGGAACTCTGGTGTCATCTTCCAGGCAAATATGTTGACTAGGCATGCCAACTATTTTAGTTTTCTCTATTTCACTGTGTGCTCTCCTATTCTGCAGCTGAAAAACTGAGAAAGCTAAACACTATTTCGTGTTACACTGTACTTAATAAAAGTCTGAACAGCCCAGATCTGCTGTGTCTACTGTTTTTCTATATTGTGTAAACATATTTTTCCTCTCTGAGGCACAGAGTACTGTATAGTATAACACAGATCCACTTTGTAAAAGGAAGAGTGTCATTTGAAGTGTTCACATATGGACGTTGATAAAGCCAAAAAAAAACCCACAAGTAAAACCAAACAAAAGTAAACAGAGCAAAGTAAGTGATTTCTTCCACAGTTCTCTGTAAACTTAGGCAGCCAAAAACACAAACATGATCCCCTCTTCAGGCAAACACATTAAAATGGGTTAAAATAATTGTTGCACGTGTATTCTGCCTTCTGACCTGTCACCTGTCAAAGCAATATGTATTAAAATTAGGCCTCTATCCAAACAACTTCAAATGAATTCAGTTATACTCACAAGAAAAAGTTTTATACATATTCATACATATTATACTTGGTTTTTGAACTGTCATTATTAATAATTATTTATCATCACCTCTTTAGGTATTGTAAAATATCTGAAGTAAACATGATTTCCATTTCCCTCTCTTGCACAGACGGCCCTCAAGCAAATAATTTGGTTACTTCTCATACTACTTTTAAAAAACAAGGCTGACAGAACTTTGGCATGTTACCTAATACAGTGTAATTACATGAAGCAATACATTCAGGGAATATTCACAATAAAAAGGAAATACCCTACAATGACATTATACTATTAGAGACCAACAAGTCTGTTTCAGTGCCTATGGAAAGATGCTTCAAGCAGACAGCAAATTATTTTCTGTTCCATACTTCTAAAATCCCTTAAATGATTTAAAGGGAAGTATTGATGCAGATGGAAAAAAATAATTAAATTCCTTTAGAATACAATTTTTTTCAAGAATGAGTTACAAAAATCATCAACTTTGGAGCATTCTACACAATAAAAACTTGGTATCTATGAATTTGAATATAGCACTTTAATCAGTTTTGGATTAACCAAGTAATATAGTCTTGCTACACTTGCAGCTCTCCTTTGCTACATCACCTTCATATACACTTTTATGGGAACTTCACACCCACTTCAGACTGACACAGGAACAAATAAGAAGCTTGGAAGACTATGCCCCATCCTTTTCCAGAAGCAGAATTTTTCACAAAATGAAATTCTTATATAACGTAGGATACAAAATCATATGACAAACTTTAGTTGTTCAAAAAAATGGAATTTTTCTTTTCCATTTCCAAGGGACTTGCCTTACCCATAATGCAGGGTCAGGTTCTAGTAGCCTGGAAAGATGAGTATGATATCACCAGCAGGGAGTATGCTGGAGTGTCACATCAACACAGAATTTAAAAATCATCTGCACCTCTGTATTTGGAAAGAATCTCAACAAAATTTAGAGTGCAATATCTGAGATGATCTTTTCTCTTATGACATTTGGAATGTTACCTAATTTTGAAAATGTTTTAAACTTGTTTTCTAGGTTTTTATCTTTAGTATACTTGTATTTGTTATAGTTCAGTACAAAGTTCATTTCAGATTTAATCTGTAAGTTCTTATGATTCTTCATAAGCAAGATAGCATATCAATTTTCTAATACAGAAAGTGTTCTAACTTTGTTGTTGTGGCACTTTCAAGCACTGAGCAATTTTCAAGCAACCTTCTTCAATATTCTGAATATTAGAGATAATAGACATAAATGAGCACCAGATAGCAGCTTTACAATATAAGTTTCATAGTAGAAGGAATTCCTTGATTTTTTACTCTACTCCAGTCCCTAAATCCACTTTTTCTGTGTATACAACTGCTTTTTCTGATAAGAAAACATCAAAACACTGTAACTATTTATATGTAGTACTCATGAAACAAACCAAAGTTAATTCTCCCTTAACCCACATAACCTTTTCAAAGCAATAGAAAACACTGCTACAAAACCAATGTATATTTTTCTTCTTGCAGAATGATCATGTGTTTTTCTTCTTTCTTAAAAAAGCAATATCAGCTTTTTAAAACATTATATTAGGATAGGCATATATTTTGCATAAATCTACCTTGGAAAAAGTAAAAGGAAATTTGAATACATATAAAGTAGTTACCTTAATTCTTTCCAGTACTGACAATCACTTCCAAAGAAAGCTCTTCCCTCCTTTCCTATATTCCTAAGAGAACTAGTGTTGCGTTTTTGACACAAAGAAATCATATGCTCTTTCATAAAAATATTTTGTTACTTACCATAAATCAGTTTGCCTACTTAATAACATACAGCTAGTTGAACTCTCTTCACTAAGAGTGAAGCTGAGCCACCAAAAATGTGCATTAACTAGAAGCCAAAACAAATTACATTGTGATACTATTTGTTTGCTTCACAGAGAAAACAGGTTCTTACCCAGTTTTCTTTTTTCAGAGGCAAAAAGTAGTAGTAATGGCAGAAGTCAAGTATCAGCGTATAGGAACTAAGGATCTGGGCGTAGAAACACAGCTGTAAAAACAGCCAGTGATTGTCTTCACCAACACAATTATTAATCCTGTAGAGAAACAATGTGTGCATGTATAAAAACAGAAATACAAATACTAAAGTTATGATACTGTGAATAAAAGATTTTATGACTGCTTAAAAAGCAAACTACTGGATCCCTTGCACCACAACTTAAAGCACAGGTTGTGCTACTGAGATCATTGCTTAGAACAGGAGACACACTTCTCTATTTTTATATAGCAAAGATACTGCTGCAACTTTAAGTAAAACTCTAGTGATAAAATTGTTTTTTGAAAGTATGCAAAATTTCACAGTAATATGTCTTATCTTCTGCTACTCAATACATTTCACAGGTTGTGAACTACAGGAGTGTAAAAACTGGCAATGCAAACAAATGTTTTTAAATAAATGTGATCACAGGCTACCTCAGTAACAAAGAAATATGACTTAAAAATGAACCAAAGGCACAGAAGACAATACAGGAATCCCTATTCAGAAACTCCTTCTGCATACTCCAACATGAAAAGAGTAAAGGAAACACAAGGATTCTATCTGTATTAAGTACAAGATCAAAAGTTACATGGATACAATTTCATACAAGCATTGGCATAGACAACAAGCTAAGCCAGCGTGACAAAAGCACTATACTAGTACTATTCTCTGAAGTAGAAAAACTTGACAAAAAAAGGTACTTTGAAAAATTACTAAACCAACATAAGGGAATCCTGTCCTCTACAGTTTGTCTTCTAAAAATTATACCTCAGAACTGCTTTCAGAAATATTTATTTTCACTTACTGGTACATATAGGAAAGCTCAAATTTATTACTTCCTTGCTTTAAATGCCTAAATGATTAAGTACCACTGGGAAATAAATAGGAAAAACACGCAGCAGTCAAGACCACAAATTTCAGAATGATTCACTAAAACAACAGTAGATAATTAGAAGAAATGTCCTGGTTTTACCATGGACAGTGGTGATCCATCCTCCTCACACAATGTCCACAGCGACTGCAATGGTGTGAACGCTTTGGTCTCATCATATTGCATTTGTTACATAACTCCCAGTGTTCTCGTTCTAGGTGGAAATGTAAAGACATGTCAGAGAGATTTAAACTCAGTAATGTGTACTCGTAATAAATCTCTATGCTTGTAACTCTAATTAAAAAAACAAATCTTACTATGATCTGAGAAGATAAGTACCACATAAAAAGCTTTTTCCCACTGTGACCTTAATTAAACGGGAAGATATTACTGCTACTCCATGCCAGTTTCCATCTCCAAAATGCCTTCTCTTCCTATAAATTTCTACACAGTAATTATTACAAAACACAAGCTGTGACTCAGACAAGGAAGACTGCAACTCAATAATTTCCTTACATTTCTACTGTGAAAAATTATCTATCTGCTAGACAGAATCAGGATACAACCTCACTGCTATTCCAGAACCTCCTGAGGAAATACTGCTACTGCTAGCTAACTAAAATATAACACACAGTGAACACTTCAGGAGCATCTTCCATGTAAAAGCATTTCAATGACATGCATATCACCACATGCAATTTTAGATATAAGACAATCAAAGAAAGAGATAGAGGATAGGCTTGTATTTACAAATATATACTACTTTTAAATTACTAATGTGACATTCTTTAAAAGCTATTCTCCAGAGATACTGACTAGCGGAACAGTACCAGGAGTACTATTGCTCAGCTTGGCTATTATTTATATCAAAATGCCCCACCCAAATTAGAGGAATTCTTTGAAAATGAAAATTCAAATTATATGTTCAAAAATTTCATCTTCACACGGGAAACAAGATTAACACTGAAATAATTCCAGTCACAAAAGCATATATTTTCTGTCTTTAAGGAAAACAGGTGGACTGAAAAATACTTTGACTGTTCAAATTGTTTCTACCTAAATAATCTTTCCTGAGGCACAAAAATTTCTCATATCTCAGGGATAGAGGGGATAAAAGGAAAAAAATCTTAATATTTATAGTAGGACATTCTGAAATTTTATACTTTAAAACATTGTCCCAGTGTAAACAAAATAAAGTTATATTTAGCACTTCTGAGCCACCTGCAGGCAGCTCTAATCTGGTCTTTCTTACTGCAAAATAACATTTGGATGCTGGAAGTAAAGAAACCAAATATCTGAGATCATTAAACTAGTAATAATGACAGATGGAAACTGATTCACAATCTGTTCGCATAAATCCAAGGTCACAAAGGTGTCACTCACTAATGGGGTAGCTACCAGCAGAGTTCAGAAACACCCCAACTTATTTTTAACACAATTTATACTATGCAAAAATGTATCCTCCTGTCAGCCTAGCAAATACCAGACAATTGGAAGTGCTACCTCCAAAAGTAAAATACTCCTGATATATCACACACCAAATCAAAATATCAAAGTCATGACCTAGCCTAAATATTTCACCTTTGGAAGTACTTATTAAGTATGACTGCCATATGGACTCAATAGAGCACACAAAGGTTGGAGAGCTACACAAAGAGATACTTTAAATTTAAAAAAACTATTTGTGTACAAAGAGAATTTGCACTGCCCCTGGTATTCTGAAAGCAAATGAAAACTCCAATACAAATGTAACTGTCTGTAACTAGCGAGCGTCTTCATTATCCAGCTCAGGTCACAAAATCCATGTTGCTCCTCCTGCAGCAAAACCTCTGACTCCAGAACCCAAGTCTGAAACACCTGACATTTAACTGGACCAGAGGATCAGCTGCCAGAAGCAGAAAGAACACTGGCATGAGATTTTCTGCCATTAGTGGTGACACATCTGAATCCCAGGGAGATACACCCCTTTCTACAATAGGCTGTCTACTTCATGCACCTCATACCATCAGCACTAAGGCCAAAAAGATCATGTTCCCAAACACATCATCCTAGATTTTCAGTTATATCAGGAAGAGAGAACAAAATTTTATTCTGGGCATCCACCACATCTGAAGACAAGACTGAAGCATGCACCCTCACTGGATGGGATACATTTTCTTCATTCATGAAGTGTTACCTGTTAATGTGACAAAGCTCATGCTGCAACAGCCCTACTCCATTCTAAACTCCTAAGTAAAAGCTCTATGCATTAGATAATAGCTCCCAACAGTTCATAAAAATACTGTCATTAAGGTTTTAAAATTCCTCCAACTTCTGGAGCACTGGATATTGTGGGATAAATTTGCAAGGACAGAAAGGACTTGCTCTATTAAGTTGCTACTTTATAGAAATGCAGTGTAACTAGCACCATGGTTTGGGGTTTTTTTGTTAACAGCCCATACAATCATAAGACTCTGGAAAAAAAGAGCAAAAAATACACAGGTAAAAACCAGCATAGGACTACCTTCCACCACCATTTTCAACATCGTATAAATTTACTAAGACAAAGGATACAGAATTAAAATACCTAGCCATCTACAAACATTTTTCATTAAATATTATCAAGTTAGTAGCATATGCATTACGTTTTAAAAGCCTAGAATGCAAAAAAAAAAAAAATCTTCCTGTGGAAAAATTTCCTAGTAGAAGATCCTACATAACTCAACCTTCTGGCAGAATACAAGTTTAAGAAAAAGAAGTTTTGAAACTACACGATGAAAAATGATAGAAATTTACAACTTTAAAACAGTGACATATTAATTTTATTCAGCAGGGACAGCTTACGGTTTCCATTAAATCTCACAAAGACAAATTCATTCCTAATTATTTTGAGGATATTAAAATAACTTTCATTCAATTATACAGAAACAAGTTAATGTACCTGTAATTGATATCTTTGGATTTTCAGGTAGTTTTCCTGGATCTGCTACTGAGGCTCTAAATAATGAAGCTACACAAAACAATGAGCAGAAGTAATAACCTAAAAAAATAAATAAGCATTTGTTAGACTTTTTCATATATGCAAAGTACACTGTATCAAAAAATACAGATGCTCCAGAACAGAGCGGGAAAATACTCAGCCTTCTCATTCAATTCCAGATGTATTTTTGATATTAAGTACACAACATTAAGTATTCCCCAATAAATAGAGTGAAAAAAGTAGTAAACAGTTCTGATAGTACCCGCAGGTGCTACTATGACCATACCACAGTTTTTAAGAAGTTTCTCCCCCATCTTACCACACAAGCACCAATCACACCACACCTCAAAGCCTCCATTTGAAAGATATTCCCAATAGTGCATCTTCACCTTGAAGTTTGTTCCAGCCATAATTCAAGACTTTTCCTCAGCAAACCTATCAGCAAAACTTGTATGAGCTAATCCATACAGGAACATATGACAAAACTAACAAAACTTAGTTTGTTGCCAATCATCACCACTATCTGACAGGCACTCACAGATGTGAACCTGAAATCCTGTCAATAAGTTCTAACCACAGGACCTGAAAGCTACGTTCAGGCTTTCCACCAGTTTCCACAAAAACAAGTTCTACAATAACACCTCCAAAATGAAGTGCCACAGCTTCTCAGAACACAATAACACAGGATGCATCCACTACTCCTACCCTTTATCTTACCTTTTGTCTTTCACGCTAGTTTCTATTTTATGATAGGATTTTTTTAAATGTATATTAAGTAAAAACACTGTTTTATTAGTAGATAAAAAGTCAAAATTACTTACAAAAAACTGCCACAACTGAAATATTTCCCTCTTCATAATGAGGAAAAAGGATGACCTTTGGAATGAAGATTGTATTATACAGCCAGACGAAGATAATTAGGCCCATGCAACACCAACCCTGAGGGTCAACCACAAAGTGAATTCGTTGCCCCATTGAACACAAACAGATAATAAATTGTCAGGGCCCAGGAAGATAATCCTAAAGAGACAAATAAAAGAAATATTTTTTTAAAAAAGAGTAAATTTACAATTATAGTGCAATCTATAGGGTTAATACATTCAAATTAGTACATTCAAGTAAGAAAGAAAAAAACCTGTCAACTGTTGGTTTAAGGAATTATATAAAAACTTATAAACATTTCACATACATTTTTTAAGCACCAGGTAGCAAAACATTTTATGAATTCATTAATTAGTTATATCTGGCTAAAAAGTAACATTTATCACCAAGATGCAAGTAAAACCACTACCTGTGAAAACTATTAAGCAATAGGTAATACAGCAACTGTCAGTCAGGTGGTAGCAGCAAAGAAAACTCTTCCATCAAAGTAAAAAGTTTGTAAAGCAAATAAGAAATATAGGGAATTATTTATTTCCACAAAGATTCAGTCCACCTATCTATTATAGTCTGCCCCTGTATTTCATGGTTGTTTTCTTACAAATTTTTTATGCTAAAATAGTCAAAAGCTTCACTAAGAATTCGGTGTTTCCTTGTTTAAAAAGTCCTTCATGACATTAATAGCAAACCAATGTCAAAAGGAGTCATTATCCTGACATCTTTCACAGATTATTAAAAATATCACACAATAGAACATTTTCTATTAATCACATTTAAAACATCAAGGTTGCCATCCTTACCCTTTACTGGGGCTGGGTTCCTTTTGGTTTTAGGCTGAAGAAACCTCACCAAGTCCTACAATGTGAACTTCCGAGCTTCATAAACTGTTCTCCATAACAACACAGCACTCAGGTCCTAACCACCATTCAGCACAACTATCACAGAAGGGATTATTGCTGTTATTTTTTTTGTCAGACTACTTTCATACACATATTTTATTACTGCACTGCACACACAAATCCCAATCTCCTCTCTTACCCATTAGTTTCCCCAGTTTCTGGGCTTCAGGAATCTTGTTTCATTTCTGATGGTTTCAATTCCTTTCAGCTTCTACTTGCTGCACTGAAATTTTGTTTATCAAACATCTCTGTTTCCAAGGGTTTTGCTTACTTGTTTCATGTTTTACTGTCCTAAGTTGCATTCAAAATTTAATTCAAAATTATTCACAAATTTCATTGTCTTCTTTTCTTCTGTTAGATGTTTAATCAAAATCACACCCAAACAAGCTGTCATTTTCCCACACTTCTCCTTTGTGTTATTTATATCACCCTTTGTTTGTTATTTTCTAATGTAACATAGGAGTGTTCCTATTCAGATCCCCACCACGTATTATTCAGATCCCCACCAAGTTCTTGCAGCTACAGAAACCCCCACCACAAGAAGAGAAGCAGACAGAGCCTCAGCTTGTCAAGCCGGACATGTCAAGCCTCTAAGCTCCAGCACCAGGAGGACAGTTCCTGTTCTGCCTGCAGCTCTGATCTACAGAGCAAGTTCTGGCAGCACACATGGAAAGGAAACTGTCAAGGAAAGCCTCTGAGCCACCTGTGCCCGAGTCCTACGGCAGTACCCATACTGGGCTACTGGGGTGAGCAACAGCATGGAGTAAGGAACAGTGGTGGGTCCCTGCTCCTGGGACAGAGACACTTCTGCTGGCTCAACCTGTCACCTGGCAAAGTATGCTGCTTGCCAGGCTGCTGGGTCCTGGATACCATGGACTGTCTACTACACGGCTGGTAGTGGTCTGGCCCTTAGACTATTACCCTCAGCTGCTCTTCCATTCAGGAACCATGGACTGAGCCAGAGGGGAGACCAGGAGTTCACCAAACATGACTACACAGTCAACAGGGTGCTGACCAAAGTCCAGTAGCCAAGTGGTGTCTCGTTCATGCTGCTGATGAAGGGGGAGGACTTCAGGAGAAGCAGACAGATCCTGCAAATGTGCAAGTGGTTGTGCAGCATTTACATCCATAGAACCCTTGATGAGGCTCAAAAACTGAGGGTGAAAGGGAACAAATTATATTAAATTATATGGATAATTATATGGGTAAAAGCATCTTTGCCAAGAGGCTAATTATTCGGCTTGGAGAATGCTTAAATAAGGAATGATGACAAAGGAAGGTGGAGACCTCTGAATGAGCAAGGAAGTGGTGGTCACGGCTTGCAAGCAAAAGATGCAGGATGATGTGGAAAACAGAGATCTTATAATCAACCAAACCAAGGTGAAGTGGGGCTGCACCAAGTGTGTGCACACAACTGACACAGGAACACCACTTAGGTGCACTAGGATAGAGTTAGGAAAACCAAAGTCATCCTAGAGTTGAATTTGATGAGGGATATGAAATTTCAAGAGAGATTTGTACAAGTACATGAGCAGCATAAGGATGGCTACAGAGGAAACATCAGCCTGCTGCTGAAAGTATCAAAATCATACAAAAATGTCAAAGCACCTTGTTTATCTTGCTCTTTCATAGGTAAGACCTGCCTTCTGGAATCCCAGGTCCCTGAGACCTGTGAGAAAGTGTTGAGGAGCAAAGACTTACTCTGAGCAAGGGAGGATCAGATTAACAAATTTTTAAGTGAACTAGACCTAATACTTTCATGTCACCTGCTGAGATGCCAGCCTGAGTGCTGAGAGAGCTGGTTTTGTCATTCTTTGTTTGGAAGATTTATGCTGATGGACGACATACCAGAGACATTCAAGAAAGTAAGTGCAAATGAAAATCCTGTTTTCAAAGACAAGAAGAAGGAGCCAGGCAACTACAGGCCTATTAGCCCCACCCTGGTCTCTGGGAAGGTAAAAGAAACAATCCTGGAAACTACTATCAGACACATGAAGGACAAGAAACGGAATGGGAGTAATCACCATGAATTTACAAAGGGAAAATCATGCAGACTAATAGAAATATAGAGGCAAAAAAACCACTAATGTAGCTACAAACACTGCTGACCACTGAAGAATCCGTCTGTTTTTCATCTTACCAGAGCAGAAGAGATTCCATGACTTCACAACACTTCCTCAGAAAGGGAAATAACAGCTCAACAAACAAAACAGAGATTTAATTACTGAAAAATACAGAGATTTAATTACTGAAATACTTGCTCCTGAGTGACCTATTTGTACGATGTGTGAGCAATAAGCAGTGAGAGGGATTCAGTAGAAAACATCTATCAACAAAATATATTCCAAATTTTTATCCCTCAGTAACTCACTTTTGCCTGCATGACCATATTCACTTTTATAACTAGAAAACCAAAACAAATATCAGCCACGTTCAAAACCATACCTTGGATGGCAAAATCCAGAATTAAGCGAGAACTACACAAATACAGGCCTCACTCTCAAGACAGGGTGATTTTTCATCTGTCTTCTGTATCTCCTGAAAGAGACAAAAAACAGTGTGATACGCAAACAACCATTATCACTTGTTTGAAAGGCAGCATATAACAGGTTAATTTCTATTCTGCTTTTCAAACCCCACCTCACTGAGTAGGGCTGTCTTGAAACCAACATGTTAATTTTAACTAGCATTTCTCAAATCTCATTTCTAGGCCATTTCACAATTTTAATATATATTTAAAAGGATGGAAGAGTTCAGAGAAAGGTCTATGTAAAACTGCAGAAGTGCCAGTGTATTTCAGTTACACACATTTACTTCCTGTTTTCCATAATGGTAAATTAAGTTTTACATTTTTCATTATACTTCAGCAGCAATAGCAAATAAATGATGTCAATATATTGACTTACTCTGGCAAGGGGATTTTTTCCCCTCTTTCTCTTGGTTTATGTACCATGCATAAATATATAAAGTGTGAGGAATAAAAAAAAAGAAAGAGCTTAAAAATTGGATAACTAGGAAGTACCAGATTAAAGTTTAAGTCACAAACAAAGTGAATGTATTACTCTTTCAAACACAGTGCCAAAAAAAGAGACGACTGATCTCATATAATTTTTTTCTTCAAAAATCATAACATCTGATCAGAAAAACTAAAACACGCAAAGAAAAAAACTCTATGAAAATGTTTACAGCAAATAAACGGAGAGAAACAATTAAGTGATTTATATCTGTATACACTCAGGATTCATAAAAGCAATGAAATTCTCCAAGCAAAGTAATTTTCTAATTAAATAATTTAGGAGAAAATACAAAGCACTAATGTCAGAGCTTTTGTGGTTTTCTTCCTTTGTGCCCTAATTTATAGCTATTTCTTCTACATAAATAACTCAAATACAAATAATTTGAAAGCCAACAGTCGCTGTGCCTGTGGAAAGTTTCAGCTGCACCAGAACACGACTGAGTCTCTCCTATGTTACTGGGAATTGTTCTTGCCTTTCCAAAAAATACTTTTATTACAGCTTGCCTGGACAGCATTTTTTCCTAACCCTTTTCTTTCTGCCCAGTTCCATCAACGGTATCATAAACTCAGTATTTTGTTCACTACAACCACCTGCAATATGACACTTCGTGTGACATCCACAGAATAATGAGAATAATGAGACCACAGAATGAGTCAGGCAGGCAGAAAGTCAGTTCCAAGAAATGAGAAAGCTTTGGGCTAACCAGAAATGTTAAGGAGAAATATAAATTGCTTTAACAGACTCATTTGAATGCAACTTTAGAAAAATTAAAAGTATACCATTTTGCATCAAGAATGTCCCAAAACATACTTAGAAAACTGCGTTCCATAAATACACCCAACGTGAGCAGTACTCAATTTCTCACCCTAAAAAGCACAACAGTCAGTCTGCAGACATCTTGTTTCTTGCACATTCAAGGGTGTTGCACTGATACACAACTAGAAACTGTGCCTCACTGTAGCCCTGCTTCTTAAGAAAAGTATGACTTCTGAAATCTGACTTGCAGAACTTTTTTCACAAGTCCTTAAACAAGTGCAGAACAACACAGATCAGTAACTTACTCTATTGCTCACCATGAAAGACAATTTTAAGACTCCACACAAACTGAACATGTTCCATAATACACATTCTGAGAGTGGAAAAAACACTACTTTCTAAAAAGGCTGTATCCTAAGCAAGTCAGAAAAAAGAACAAAGAGTAGAAACACAAGAGAGCCACACTTCTCATAATATTTGTGATAACTAGGGCAAGGCAGCAACAATCAACAGCCTTCCCCAATTTCTGGATCCAGCTGCATTTTTACACCAGTGACCTTCCTGAAATCTGAAGAATTACTGCCAAAGATAACTGATACTAAAAAAAAAAAAGACTTCAATGGGAAAAAACAAGGTGGACTTCAAGCAATCAACTAAACTTCTACTACAAACCAGATTTTAAGGAAGTCACGTTATCAAGTGTCGGAACAGAATTGTCATTAAGCTTTTTGCAACATTTCTGTTTAACAAAACAGAACAGATATCTGAATAGCCAGATACTCAAAATGAGCAACAGCATATTTGTGCTATGACAAAACCCCACACACCTGGCATCTCTCGTGTTTATACAATGGATGGTTGCAGCACAAAGCGGTTGTTAGGTGGCTGTTGACAGGTTTGTGGAGGCAGGCAAGACATTCCCACCCAGTTACTTTTCATTGATAGGATCTTGCAAAGCACACCTGCAAACACCTACTGCCTTTATAAAAAATGCGATTTGGGCTTGGAGAGGGATATAGCTTGACATTAACATCGGCACACCTTACCCTCCTTATCGTAAGTCCATCAAAACTATCTTCACCTACTGCTGACCAAACAGCCACTTGTACACAGATAAGTATGTTGCTTTAAGAACACCACTGTTTGGATCATCAGCCCGAGGTGAACGAAGACCTGCTATTTCATCTGACTAACTACTGGAGCTGGGAAATGAAAGTGTGAAACCGAGGGACGCCAAGGCCATCGCACTTCCTTGTGCGCGCTGCGGGAACACACAGGTCATCAAAACCTCGTGCCTCTCCTACTACCACCTCAACACCAGCAAACACCCGCCTCCTCCGCAGGGCAACCAGCACCCTGGACCTGCCTGAAAGCGACAGCACCATTTCCTTATTTCACAGCCGAGGGGATACCCGGCAATTCTGCACAGGGTTTGCCCGCCCAGCTCCCTGCACAGACAACAGCAAGGCTGGAGGGGAAGTGCAGGGATGGAGGCAGCCCCGCAGGAGCCCGCCCGCCGCTGCGGGGCCGTGCCGGTGCCCGGTGTCGGTGGTCGGTGCCGGTGCCCGGTTGCCGTGCCNGCCGCCCCCCGCCCCGGCACGCGGCGGAACCAACCGTGGGCTTCCGCCGCTCCAGCCGCGCGTGCGCGCTCCGAGCGCCCCGGCGGGCGGGACCGCGCCCCTCAGGGAGGGAGCGGCGGAGGCAGAGCCGCCCTTCGGACCTGCCGGAACCGGCCCGGCGGCCCCTCGCGGCCGCGGGGCGTGGGCGTCTCGCCTCGAGTGGGAGAGGCGCGCCCACGGCGGGCACGGCTGAGTGTGTGCAGCGCCGGAGGAGCCGCCCTGGAGGGGTGGTCTACCCTGCCCGGTGGGAAACCCGTGTGACCCATCAGCCAGATTTCCCCAGGGCTGGAGCTCGCTGTCACTCGGTCGTTCCCGAGCACAGGCTGCAGTCAGCATGAGCCCTTTCCCGTACTTTATTTTTGCAGCGTCCCTTCGAAATCCCAGTGAAAAATGAGCCCTGCAGGCAAGGCTTCTGCCTCAGTCTCCAGGCTGCTTCTGGGAGAAGCTGGCAGCTGCCCCAGCTAGGCCTCATAGCTTGAAGCTGTATTAACTTAATAGTATAAGCTAACACTCTGTTCCCTAAGAGGGGCTTGTTTTACCTTGCATACCACATAACCATGGTTTCATGGTAAGTGAAAGGTCCCAGCTCACTGCAAGGAGGAAGACGCCCCCCACCTTGCAGATAAGGACCCCTTATCCTCTGTCTGGTCTCTCAGTGTGTTAAAGCCACCCATGAAGAAGAAAAATGCCTCTGGACTGTGAAGATAACATCAGAATCCTGGTACTTTCAACACCTCTGGCAAAACCCTGCCATTATCTGGTATAGGTGGCTATAGGAAGACCAGCTCCGGGACACCTAAATTGAGAAAGAATCAGCTGGATGGTGACACCACTGATTTATTGCTGTTTTCCAGAGCAGCAGCATGAATGTGGGTTATGTGGTGAGTGGTCAAATGATGTTGTATATAAATGCATGAAAGGGATAAAAGAACCATTTGTTAAACACAGTGTGCCCTGATTTGAATGGGAAGCTTCATTCTCGTGAATGAAGAGCTACTCTTGTAATTCTGTACTTTGCATCCTTGCCTCTTTCCTCAATCAGCTGAGACCAGCTGGAACATTTTTATGACATTCAGGTCACTTGCTGTGCTGTGCCCCTTGCTCACGTAGAACCCTTACCTGTCCACATAAGCCAATCTTCATTTTGAAAAGATAATTCAGACCTGCAAGGGATTACCTTTGGGTAAGAGCCACAGACAGCTTGTAACAGACAGAATTTTCAGTGTTCCCAGCTGGGAATCATGCCTCGAGCACCTACTGCTGATGAACATATATGATCTTTTGGCTACCTAAAGGTACCCCATCTGTGTGAGTGGCATCGTTCCCACTGTAAATTGATGTGTTCTTACCTTAGAGCAGTTTTCCTTCACAATGATGGATGAAATAGATGAAGAGTAATGTTGTGAAGATTATCAATGCCAAAAACTCACCTTTATTACTGATCAAATTCTTCCTAAAACTTAATCATAACATGATTATTCTGAGGGAAAACAAAAAGCAAAACAAACAAAAAAAACCCCACAACAACAACCAAAAAAATCAAAAAAGAAACTATTACACAGGGCAATTGTTAACATTTCAACCTAAAGTTGCTCTAACCTGAATAGAGGTATTTGTAGCAGAAACTGGAGGTTGTCTGGAAGGAGAAAGAAACATGTTCCAGGTAAATCAGAGAAGATCAGATCTTTCAAAACAATCTATATGTCAATAGGAGCAGATAACACTGAAAATAATGGACTTGTTAATTGGACTGTTAATGTGTCTTTTAAGGGGAAAACAAAAACTGAAGAAGTTGTTGTTTTATAAATATTTAAAAATAACAAAAGCCAACCTCTGGATCTATTCCATGACAACTTTCATATGTATATTTATGTCTATGTGTAAAAGACCTAATAAGCTGTGAAAACTTTTTACTGACTGAAAGAATTAATTTCAAGGAAAAAAAACCCACAAAACAAACAAGAAATTTAAAGGAAACCATGTTCTTGGTAAGTAAAATGGAAGTATAAGAAAAGAATAATAGTATGATCAATGAAGGTTTCATATGGAATGAAAAAGAATCAGTCAGTAATATTGTCTTCCATTTGAGTACCAAGCATTTGCATTTCTGCAGTGGTACACATCTAATGTCCAGTCTTTAGCCCTGTAGTCCTGCCAGGCAGGTTATATTTTTTTCTATTCAGGAATGTTATGTAAACGTAGGTTGTGGAACAAGGGCAGTGGTCTTTTCTGGCTTAGTCATAGCACAGCACTCCTATCTTGTAAATGCTTTTTTTTTTTTTTTTTTTTGAGAAAGCAAGCACATTGCAGGAGGAAAAGCAGGCAGTTGTCTGCTGGACTTTCCAACTGAAAAGTCTTGACCTAGAGGTATTACCTGACTCTTTTGCCAGAATATCAAAAGATAGATAGATAATGAGTCTTTGTGATGAACTACATTCTGTGTGGATAAACATACCTATGGGAGTCCTAGCTTTGCATAATGTGGATTTAAATAAAATCCAATATGGATGTATTACAGGAAGATCATTAGAAGTCTGCAAAATTATGCACCTTCTTCAATGCTGAATATTGCACAATGGCATAGAATTCCTCTTGGATTTTCTGATGTCTGTGTTGTGTTGTTGTTGCTGTTTATAAATTACCACAGGAGCCACCAGCTGTCATCCTATAAATTTTATTGGCACTCTGTAAATATTAAATCAGCCTGCTAAAATCAAGCCATGTGCAGTAACAGCTGAGGCTCTGTTATGGGGAACACGTGCAAGAAGGAGGTGTGCACTGTGACTCCCACGATTCTTACAGCTTGCAAGCCCCTTGCTTCTTGAGGCTGTTTTCCAGGATTCATTTTTAGCCCAACTGTGCCCCTTGACCAACATGCAGAAAGAAGGGACATTTTCTGTGCACAGATACATTCTGAGCTGAGAAGTCAGCCTTCTCAGCAGTACTCAGTTTCCTGGGTCCTTCTAAAATTTGTTGCTACCACATTTTTGCAGCAGCACTGCATTGCTCACTTTCATGTAAACCTTGGTGACATACATAGAAGACAGTTCTCATCTCTAGAATGGGAACAGAATTCTTGATGTCATGAAGATCTACATCATGAAGAAAAAAGTCTGTGTCAATGAAACAGCATGCTGAAACAAAGCCTGCTGTGGCTCACAAGTCAGTATGTGAGATATTGAGGATGTAGGTGTTAAAGGAAAATATGTCTCAGGCTCCATTTTGTCTCTTACTTAATAGCCAGAAAAATCAAATGCAAGGTATGTTTTGTAATCTGCCTGCCTCAATGAAATGTGGACATGGTGAAATCTCCTGATCCTGCAGCCCAGATAGATTAAGTGGAGTACTAAGGTAGACCAGGCAATAGTCTAATTTAGGGAGTTAGTTTTCACCTTAGGCACTTCAGTGGTGTGAGGAGTTCTGCTCAGATAGTGTCCAGCTGCAGATGTCTTAATATTAGTTCTTATAATGCCTCTCTTCCTCCAAGAGTTGCTGTCTGAATGCCAGGCAGGGCAACAGACTGCTTGAATCTTCCACATCTCTGCAGTGAGGTGGGTTTGAAAAAGCTTCAGCAGATATAGCCTTGTTCAGAAGGCAGCTTAGGGACTTGCCTTCTCAGTTTGAACACCCTGACTGTGGGCTGCAGCCACCAGCAGAATGTCAGATTAAATGACTGGTAAAAGGAGCAGTTAAACCAGGAAAAATTAAAATGCCTCAGAAAAGCCCTTAGAGAAACATCAGGCTTGCCCTTTTTAATCTATTATTGTTGTAATTATAATAATTATTATTAATAGTTATTATTACTTTTATTATCATTACCATTATCATTATTAAATTAGTAGTGGTGGTAGTAGTAGTAGTAGTAGCATTTAGCTTCTGGTTATTTTTTTAATTTTCAAGTGAAAATGCAGTTTGCTGATGCCATGGGGCCCGAGATGCTCTAAACAGGACAATGTTGTTCTCAATGAGGACAGTTAACCTTTTATCAATATTCTTGCATTAGGGTCAGCTGCAGAGTCTTTTCATCCCCATTCTTTCTTACGTGAGCAGAAGGAGTGTGCGCAGCTGTCAGGGAATTATTTCAGATGAGCTGAAGTTGGTGGTTACATACCAATATTCAAACAGTTAGGTTTAGTACGACAGAAAATGCAATATATTTAAAATTCTTTACCAGTGTTTCCTGTTTCTGCTGGTAAACTGTCTGATGGAGGACCCAAAGTAGCCCAAGTTCCACACCTCTTAAAAATGCACCATCTGACACAGCACACACTTCTGAGTACGTTGCACAGGATCTGCTGCTCCAGACTGATCCCTGCAAATCTATGGGATTCATCTGAAAATCCTCACAGAGCTAGCTGATGTCATTGCAAAGCCTCTCTCAATGATTTTTGAGTGGTCTTGGGAATCCAGAGCAGTTCCAGCTGACTGGAAGCTGGGAAACATTGTCTGTTTTTTAAGAAGGGCAAGAAAAGAATTTATTTTGCAGAAGACAGAAACTGCAGTGTCCTGTCAGTCTCACTTCAGTGCCTGGTAAAGTTATGGTGATTTTGCTGGGAGGTATTGAAAAACACCTGAAGGACAACATAGTCATTGGTCACAGCCAGCATGGCTTCATGAGAAGACAGTCCTGCTTATCCTGATTTCCTTTTATGACAAGGTAACACACCCAGGTGATCAAGGAGGGACAGTCGATGTATTCCTTTTAGGCTTCAGGAAAGGTTTTGATGCTGTCTCTTACAGGATCCTTCTGGACAAAATGTCCAGCACACAGCCAGATACACACACACATCATGTAAGGGTTGAGCAGCTGGCTCAAGGCACAAGGGGTTACAGTGAATGGGATGACATCAGACTGGGGACCTGTCATTAGTGGGGTTCCACAGGGCTCCAGCCTCAGCCCTGTGCTCTTCAACATCTTCATAAATGACTTGAATGCAAGACTGGAAGGGATACTAAGCAAGTTCCCAGGTGATACAAAACCGAGAGGAGTTGATGCCCGGGAAGGCAGGGAGGCCCTGCAGAGAGGCCTTGACAAATCAGGGGTCTGGGCAATCACCAACCA